TGACTGACTAGGCTGACGTAGATTTCTTCTGATCCCTGAATGAGAGGTCGCCGTAATATAATTTGTTCCAAGGTCGCATACACAGAGGTTGGTCACAGATAAAAAAGCGGAGTAAGATCCGTAGATGCATTCCTAAGCCTGTACTTTTCCATGTATGCATTTTCCTACCATAAGGTTATAATGTGCTCGCCGGTGACGGTGAAGTCTGTTGCGTCTAAACGCTTCTTCAAAAATATCAGCAGAAACTTTTTTTCTGTTTTTAACTTCCCTATTTGATCACTAGAAGAGCCGATTTCTGTAGTTGATGGTTCATACATGGTTTTTACCTGTGTAACCTGCCATTTAGTTTCTTTTTTGCACAGTGAATGGCTCGAACCGTTATTTATTTTCGACCACCGAAAAAACGAGGTCTGCATAAAGGAATATTCTCGTGATATAATGACAAAAAAATTCTCTGTCTAGAGTTCTCTTTGAAAAACGCGTTTCGCTACTTACGGCACGTCACAAATGAATGCCCTTGTCGTTTATCTTTATCATAAGTAATGCCATGTGCATGCAATCAACTCTGTTGTCTTGCCTATTTCTGGATCTTTTTGATCATTCTCGCACCCAAATCTAGTCCTATCTTTTATTTATAAATGTGGCATAAGCAGCCTTAAACAGTTAGAAATATTTTTATAATAAACGACTAAAGCGGCACGCGCTGGCCATTTGTGGCTTAGACATTATCTTAGAACTAGATGCGCAAAGGTATCTTGTCATTTTCAGTCACTTTACAGCTGATTTTTATTTTTTATGCTTACTGGCATCACTACATTGTTTGGAGCATAAATTGGCATTGGCTTTCGAATCACATTTTTTGACCAAAATAACCCGGTCACTCACATCTTAGCTCGTTTGCTTTATATAGACTGATACGGGAATAAAAATCCCATTCGGTTATACAGAAGGACCTGCGCAAACCCCGAAAAGGTGCCTTAAATCTAACTCAAATTTCGTTGGAATTTAGCGCAAGACCGTATGTATTGCGAGGCGGTGGGGAGTCCTTACTTTCATCTTCTACCGAAGGTTGATTTGGCAGAACCACTCTCCTTCAGATTTTGTCATCTACTATTTGAAGTACCCACATTTTTTCTCAGCGCAGGGTGCGTGTCATCTTTATGAGGCGATTTTCGTGCCACGTAATCGAACGTGGGCACATTGAGTGCATTCTGGTGGGGTTTTCAGTCGTAGTCACGCTGCCGACAGCGCGGATTTATCGAAAATAGTAGGAGGCTTTTGTTGCATAGTCATAAACAAAGAATATGCAACCACCTGCATTTTCAGATTCTTGTTCTAACCCATCATCAGAGGCAGACGTAGATAAAGATAGTGAAGGCACAGGAAGTGCATGAAAAGTATTACTTATATGGCTTTCTAAAAACGACATGAGCACAAGAACCGTTTCCAATAGATGTTTGAAACATCATTTCCCAGGTACAAATTTGAAGACAGCGTATGTAGCAGAATTTAATGGCACCATAAATTTCGCGAGCGCTCATCAGCCGCTGCCGCTCGCTGCATAAACAGAATAACAAATTTTAAATTACAGAATTGAATTCATACAGAAAAATCGATCCAAAACATCAAGGTC